CCTTTGCAGCTTGGTTTTTCATTGCTCCAGCGACCGTCTGAGCACTTAATCGTTCGCACGCCCTCCATTATGTAATCTCCACGACACGTGAATGTAACTGGTTTACCATGACGAAAGTCATCACCAATCTTGTTTCCTTGATGAGGACGGCCAGGGTCTGGGCAAGGCTCTGAAAATAGAGAAGAGTATAGTTAAACCAACGATAACAACAGGAATATTACTAAGCACTAATATCGAGTTATAGAATGATCTCATGTTGAACAGGTTCTTGTTTCCTGACCCTCCTTCTAGCAACCTGGAATCTCAACATCCTGACTGAGTTTTTTCATTACAACGCCCTTAATTGAAGATTGTATATTTTAAAAACATAGATGAATTTCTAATTGCCTACCGAAAAAAACGAAAATGTTGCAATAAACCAATAACAAACAGGTTACTCGGAACTAACCAGTTAAAATTTAGGAATTTTTTGTCAAATTGCATTCGATTGTTGTCTTGCAAACCTTTACAAGATGGTAGATTGTCGCTCCATTTTCCTTTTATGCAAGTAATTTTTGCTGATCCGACCAACGTGAAGTTTGTGCGACATGTTATTTCAACCTCACCACCTTCCTTCAAAGTAGCGTGTGTGATGATACCATTCTTTATTGAATCCACGACAGGACAGGAAGCTATAATAATGCAATGACAGGAACAAATATGTCAACATATATGTTAAAAAATTCCATTGCCAGTCAGTTCATTACTTAAATTAAATGGCGTATCTTATGTATTGAACTGAGTGCAGATTTCGTTCTCCACTGAAAAAGATAACGTACCANTAAACAGAAAGACAAACAACATAAACAGAAAACTGGACCCAAAAGCTACAAGAATGAAAGTAATCAATTCTCTCTAATCCTTTTTAATCAGGCTTTGAACAACCCGACCCTGGATATTTGAGACTGTCGTGACTTAATTATGTACCAGTATTCGTACAATATTGGTTTATTGCAAGAGATATATGGATAGACTGTTGCTAAGTTTAAATTCGTATCACTCGAGTGAAACAAAGTCTCCTCGAGTCGCCTGAAATCGCTTCTATACGCCTTAAGTCGCCTAAAATCGCCTTAAATCGCCTTAAGTCGCAATGTTTTTTTCAGCCAATTTTGCTTAAGTCGCCTAAAGTCGCCTTAAGTTACGGCGACTTAAGATCCCAGAGTAGGCCTGAACAGATTTAGTTTTCCATTGAAAAAGATAACGTACCAATGCAACTGAATTCCCTCTTAAGCCACATAGTCTGGTTGCAAACCATGATTGGCGATCCCTTTAGGTAATATCCTTCGCGACAGGCCAGAAAAACGTGAGTCCCATGAGTGTAGTTCACATGATTTGTTTGAGGATAAATGATGTAAGCGTTACTCGAAAAGGTAGGTTTTGAGCATAGCGTTGCTAGAGATGGAAAAGACAAAAAGAAGGATATACTTTAGCTAATAGTTGCAATCGTGTGAATTGCAATCGTGCTACAGTAGAAGGATAAATCATAAGCTAAGTTATCATTCAATGCTTTCTATGTACTGAAAAGACGTCAGTTTAGGCTCTGCCCTGCGAAACAGTTTTTCAACTTCAAAATTAAAACAATAGAATTCAATCTATTAGGGAAACAAAACTCGCCGCTTTCCTTGGACCAAATCATTAAATGCTTATATTTCCTACTCATCTTGGAAAGAAGAAAATGAAAATCTGTTAGGGCCCCTATGCGGGTACGGCTGAAAAGTGAGCCCACTTATTTTTCTTTTCAATTTTTATTTCTCTATATCGTACAAATGTTTGACAATGCTGAAAAAACATGAGACCCTGAGAGCCAAACGGGGTTAGAACAGACAAACACCATTTAATTCTATTCTTAAGTCGTGGAACGAGTTAGCTGATGTTTTATGAATCAACATTTCCTATTTCGTAGTGCCTCAGAAGAGTCTTCTTACCTTTGCATACTGGAACACTGGAATTCCATATGCCATGGTTACAGCGCAGTGCACGATCTCCAACCAATTCGAATCCAAGCTTACACTCAAACGAAACAACTCGACTATGAGAAAAGCTTGTTCCAAATTTTCGACCATTTGGCGGATCCTTAATCTTCTGGCAATAGGCTAAGCAAAAAAATGAGCATATTAGCAGCTTTAACCCTGTTCAACACTAGCTTCGAGTTGCCACTTGGAAATCTTGAATATGGAGTTCTCTTACTTACATTTAAAGCTCCGGACAGATTAAATCTTGTGGTTAAATTAAATATGTAACAGGGATGAAAGATAGGTGATTTACCTTTACAAGTTGGTACGTTGGCACTCCAAACTCCATCATTGCATGTCAAAGTGGGCGACCCAAATAGATCAAATCCTGTCAAACAGGCGAAGTTTGCTTGGGCACCATGAGTAGTGTCAGATCCATGAAGGGTAACGTTAGGAGGAGCTCGAAGACGTGGACACGACTTGAGCCCTGTCAATAAGAAACGTGCATGGATATCAATATCTGAGCCTGAATTGAAATCGTCCTATCGTAAAAAATTGTATTGGTTTCAGAGATCGCCTGTAGACACCAGAGGCCTCAATACATTTCATTTTGTCATGAAGATCGATGTGTACGAATTTTTTTTTATTATTATTGCAACATGCGACCAGAAGTTAAAAGAGTAATATACTTGATTTCCTTTTCGTAGGCTAAGTATGAGTGAAAGCCGGAATACGATTAAAATATTTATTTGCGGATTGTTTCCAGTCTTTGTTTTCAGGAAGTATAAGTACTTGAAGCTAAAATTGAGGGCTTTTTTAGCGGGTTGAGTAGTTGCTATGGTAATTATGCATGTGTCATGAGGATGACCTCGACTTGTTTAACAATAATTGGGCATTAGCACGGTACCAATATTGTAACATCTCTCGATTAAAGTGTGTTAGTATTGATCTCTCAACTGTTGGAAAGCGCTATTTATACCCCATTCACACCAATTAAACAAGTTTGCCTAAACACGGTTAGATAAAACAGCGTTTAGTTAAACATGTTTTGTTGTTGAGGTCGTTCACACCGAGGAAGCCAATTTAACTCCACGCATTCTTAGCGCGCTTCAATTCGCCTCGCCTGCATGACCGAAACATCTTTCCTTACCGGGGTCCCGTGGAGCAAATAGTAGGTTCACGCAAATAGCCTAACACGCACACATCGACAACGAAAACATGTTGCAAAATGGTTTCAAAAACTGACAAAAATAGTACTGTTGTTGTCGCTGAACCGAACGAGAGAACATAATAGAGCACATATAAGAAAGAACCGAGCTGTTATTGCGAGGATTCAGTACACGAGGAGGAAAAGACGCACCTGTTTTTTGTTTTTTTGTAAATCTGATCGCTTATCTACAACAGTTGCCGGTCAGAGAAATTTGGGTGAAACCAAAGGCAAATTTATTTTGGCGTATGGCTGAAGACCAATGGACCGACAACAACTGGGTCGGACACTTACGAATGTCCCAGGTAACCTTCCAAAAACTTGCGAAGAACTGGCTCCTTTCAATGAGAGATGAGATACAAACTATTGCAAAGCGAGTGAGTTGCAATAACATTGTACAGACTTGCAGACACGGCCAGTNAATTAAACAGGTTTTAAACGTGTTTAGTTTGAGAGCGTGCGCGGTGTGAACGGGTAATTTTTTAACCATGGTTAGTTAAACATGTTTAACTCTCTGGTGTGAACGGGGTATTAGATTACGAATAAGACGAAGTGCCGAGTAGCATTTACCTCCAACCAAGTTCGACTTCGTGGCTTTTAATATTTTGATGAATGCAATACTCTGTAACGACAACTTACTCTCACAAAACGGTAGCTTTCCGTTCCACCTTCCATCAACGCATTCCAGCCTTGGTGTACCGACCAGTCGAAACTTTGCATTGCAACGAAATTCCACGGCCGCCTGTCCGATATTAGGGTGTGTTTCAATAACTTGACCATTCGAAATTTGACCTAGGTCTGGACAAAATCCTGTACAAAAATAAAACGTAGTTATGAGACTAAAAGACGAATGTATGAAATATAAATCATACACTTTAGATGCAGGAGAAACATACCATCTAAGAGCTTATGGCAGAAATTATTTACTTGTCTGTCTTCATCATCTCTCTGAAAAATTATGAACTTGCAAATAGACCAGCTACAAGTTAGCTTGATGGCTCAGTCGGTAGGTTACTGCACAGCTACAGCAGAGATCATGGGACTGAGTCCTGGATTTTCGAAGGCAATTGCTGAAGGAATGCCTCAAGCTTAGCTAGCTGTCCAAACTGGATCGATTGAAAAACAAACATTGAAAAGGGACTTAAAGGCACAGGGGTTTAAGGACTTAAAACGTCCACTCGACATCCGCTTGTGAAGGTAGAAATTTGAACCAGGTTTTAAGTAAAGTACCAAATAAACTACAAAAGTATTCGAAACACATTGACTTCTTTGGCGAAACAATGGTTTGGTCACTTGGTCACTCTTATGTGCCAGTTTCCATAGTTTGTGAAGTTCACTCGTATTCTTGTTTGTTTGTTTGTTTGCTTGTTTCTGAGGTGTGGCTAATTCAACAAGAACGGATAAAATACTCAAATGATTACGGCTAAATATATTATAGAACTATAAATTGATCTCTAATGGTATCTTCTAGGATGTCTGTTTTGGTACATATTAATTTATCATATTTAAAGTAATATTTCAGGCTGCAATGCTATTTGTTTTAGCTTATCCCTTCAAGGGGTAAAAATGGATTTATGCTCCATTCCAATAGGAGAGAACTGAGGAGTTGATAGCGAGTGAAATAAATATTTCCTTATAAAACTTCCAAGAGAAAGTCTTTGCAATAAACGAAGAGCATCATGTCAACATACCCACACATCTGAACTGCCTTTGTGTCCAGATACTCCCAAGGCATTTTAT